CAACAAAAACCAACATAAAGCAACTACAGCAAAAAAAAACACGGGTTCCAGGTCTTGACCTAGCCCAGCACGACCGTACTTCTAATTCTGGTCATGCCTCTTCTCCCTGCTCTTCCGACTACTGCTGCTGCTGGCAGCACCACCAGCGCCACAACGACGGCTCCGACGAAGGCTTTCGCTCTCGACCACTGCTGCTACTCGACTTCCGCAACGGGATCGCGACAATAATCCGAAACTCGACACCCGAGCCAAACAGGTGGTCGTTGAGATTGACAGCATGTTTCAAGGGTTGTAAGATATCGTGAACCTTCTGGGCAGGGCCCTTGTCGCTTCCAAATGGTTCTTACTGATTCGTACTCTGCAAGTCTCTCCGCCTGAAAGATTCTCACGCAGAGTCAAAGAGCTGTCAAAGGCCCTCTAGCACCACTCGAAAGGACTCCACATGCCAGGCTTTGATGCTTCAGGGTTTTGTGGACTTCGGCTTCGATACACGTTTGTCGAAAACTGTATAATTGATCCTCGCCCTGAGATTGCCTCAATCTCTTTCAGCTGCTTATTCATCTTCGCATTGTCTTTGACCTCGGGGCAGCTCTCAGGTTTCCCATAGAACCTTTGCTATGACTCAATTTCGGATAGTGCCGACTGATTATCATGACACTGACAGAGAGACTTCGAGTGAAAGCTGGATGTCCGTTGCTGTTGATCAGGCTCAAGCGCCTGCGCTTTGTGATCTGCTTGTGAGTTGGGGCCGCAGGGCCCAGAGAGTATGTTGACGGTCTTCAGACACGGTATGTTTCTGGACGACCAGGTCTAAACTGTACAACTCCCTGGGGCCTCGGTCATGTTGGCTTGATTTTGAATTTGGGGATTGTTCACTGGGAAGCGTGAAGTGTGAAATCTCGCAGCTCGGCACTGAGGGATCTGCGAGTTGGCTTTTCTGCTCCTCGAGATCAGGGCGCTCCTTCGCGACCACGATTCCCAACATCTGGTCCTTTCGCAGCCAGTAGGCGCATGTAGTCTGCATAAAGGCTTTCTGAACAATCAGGTCGAGGGCTTAAGGGGGAGCAGCTAGCTTGAGGAATTTCTCTAGCAAGTAGGCCACCAAGTGGAGCAGCTTACCATGCATTAGGCGTTGCAGCAGCAACCGTTGCTTCCAGGCTGCCAAAACAAGGAGGATCTGATTGACACTGATCAACGAATGACGAGGATCCCAGCAACAGCGGCACATAGATACAGCCCTGTCGGCGTCCACTGTATATCAACTAGGAGCTGCAGACCTCCAGGCCAGTTGGCGTGATGGCGAAGTTGAGCAGCGTGACCTCTGGTGGAAGTATGCCCTCTGCGAGGCAATTTAACGTTCTCAACGACTAGAGCGGGCACATGTCAATATGTAAATGGATGCAAACACTCCGGGCATTCGTGCACATGCACGCGCACAAGCACAACCACAATTGAAAACGACGTTCCTCAAATCCGGAAACTAATCCCCTCTTCTGCCTTGACAGAAGTCTCCGGTGAGTAGTGCGGGTTGGGCCTCGGGTTGCACCGAAACCGCCGCATGTGCTCAGATAGCCCTTCTGACCACCCTTGCTTCTACATCAGAGCTTTGAGGAATTAGCTGCCGCAGATGAGCTCGAAAGCATCGTTGGATTGCTCTGTGCTGGGGGCGCGGTCCTACCAGACTTTCCCCACTCTTTGGAGCTAGATTCGACCTCCCTAGGCCTCCAAACGGACAACAACTGAGTAACCAATCCGAAAAGATGCACCGTGCTGAACCCGCAGCTGCATATGAGATAGCCCAAACCCTGCACCCTAATCGTACGGTTGACGAACGCAGACAACATTGTCCCGAAACGGATCAAGTTGAGCTATAGCGGAATGCCGCTTGAGGCCAGTGGCAAGGTCGTGGTCATGAAAAACTTGAAGGTGTCGGCATAGGTGATGGACCTGGTTCAACCGCGGTTTTAGCGTTCAGGGCTTGTGGAATTGGTGTTCAAACGTGGTAGGCGTGAGTATGACCAAACCATGAATACTTTCGCCGCCTATGCGACCTTTAGTCGTGGGAGCTGATGTGAAGCAAACAAGACACACGCGCACACCACGGAGATTCGTGACGCATGTCCTACCGCATACTACTCTGAGACCAGTACGAATAGCAATGGCAATCGCATCTAGAGTAGTACCGGTATCAATTTTGGCAAGATTCAACACTGTGCTAACGCTCCTCTCTGCGCACGATTTCTGAGAAAGCAACGCATGAGCCTTACTGTGAAGGAGGTTTCAATGACAATAACCTACAATAACCTACGGCCCAGCAATGTCGGGTTGGGTACTCTATCGCTTGCTTCCAGGCCTAAAGGCCCCCACACATTGGGTTTTCAAACGATCAGCAACACCAAAATTCTCATGACTTCGATGGTGATGATGAGTCAAGGAATACAGCCGAATCAGCTGCGATTCTCTTTCACAACTTCTGGGACTGCGCACTTATCGCCCAGCTTGATGGTGAAGCCAGACCCGTCCCGCACCTGTCGGGTCTTGGCGCTTTTCAGAACTCTTGCAGCCTGGAGCACTGCCTTTTTGTAAACCCCCTACTGCAAACCCTCAGGCAGCTCCGGAAGCGCACCTTCTGCTGTTGCAAAATGGGCTCCAGTGCCGGGTCCAGGGAGAGCCCAATATTCTCCAGCCTAAAAGCTGGAGTTGAAGCGCAAGAGTGGAAAGGTTGAGGTCAAGATTCAGATGTCACAGTCTCGTGTATTTGGGGATCTCGGGGCTCGGTTTCTGTTTGTTTCAAGGGCCACATTTTTGCGCGCCAGCTTGGCGAGTACGAGCTGCTGCTGCTTGCCTCATTGAGGATGATACAAAGAAGGTTCTTAGATGTTTGCTTGTTTAGCTGCCGGATGTTGCCAGAATGGAAAAAACCTCAGAGGGTTGGGAGCTTGATTGTGAAGTGGGCAGGAGACGACAACCGGGGAGCTGGGCTTCCGACACTTGGGAACAGTACCCTGTTCAGTGTTACAAGAGAGGTGACCAAACGTGGTGATCGGTCCGAGAGACACCGGCTTGCCAGTTGAACCCACATCACCCACTGTGCCACAACTTCTGAAGCTCTGGGCACGGGGCAGAATCCACTTTCCGAACTGGATGCCCAACTCCAGGGTGCGAAGAAAGTTGGACTCCGACATCTTGCAAACCTGATCTTCTTCTTCGCTTACTGTTTCTTGGAACACTGTGACATGCATCACCTTCCGAGAGGCTTTCCTGCACTTGGTAGTCTTGGTACTGCGGCCCGGTGGTGGTACTGCTGCTACTGCTACAATGACCGTGATGAGGATTACGGTTGACAGTGACTATCGTTGTCACTGTCATCGTTCATTCCGTGCTTGTTCTTCGTACCCCTAATTCATACCAACTTGCCATTACGAGCTCCAGTTTCTCTTGCGCATAGGTTCTGGCGCTACAGTACTGTCTGCATGGCCGACTCTCTTCCATGCGCGCCTCACGGCTTCGCGTGTGACTAAGGTCCTCACATCGAACCCTGTGTCGATGTCCTTGCCCATATTCTTGATGTACTTGTTGGCCTCGTCTGGTCCGCTGGGCCCTGAACTTGGCAATCTTGGCCCTTACTTAAACTTGAACCCTAAGCTCCTAAACCCCATGACCTGAGCTCGAGTCACCCTGATTATTGGGAACTGAGCCGTGCTATGAAGTGAGGCTTTCAAGTTAAAGACCTGAGGGTCTCAGGTCCAAAGTTTAGATCTCTGAAGGGTTTAGGGGTTCAGGCCTGTCTCTGTGGATCGATCATCAGTGGCCACCGGCGCGAACGGTCGATGATGATTGCGTTCCTTGAGGCAGGCACTTCTGTTGCAGTGTCTATATGATGCCGTCTGGCTCGTGCTGCTGCCAAGCAAAGGAGATTCTCGGCAATATCACTGCCGATGTTTTGCTTGTTCCACCGGCATTCATTGCACGGTAATAAACATTGTTAGCAGTGTTCTGGAACATTCCCTTCGATATTTAACCCGGTCAATCAAGTCAATCGTAGTCCGACCAAATCGAAAAACACGACCATCTCAACAGGAAGCTCTTGCATGATATGGAATGCTTAATTTCTTGACATCCTCTTTCACTCCAGGCCCAGAAAATCTTCATCATGGTGTGCTGTGTTTTGTGCCACCCTATCAAACAATCGGTCATCCTGAATAAGTCCCGCCGCGACTGTTGAGCAGGTACAGCACAGGGCTGCAAAGAGAGAACGGCTCAAGGGATGTGGTGGGTTGTACGTCCTGCGGTTGGTTTGGGGTGGCGTGTCCCGGGTTGTAGGGGGAGATCGGCTCTTCAAAGGACTCTGCGTGTCTGTACATTGCAGCACAGTTGGAGTACCGTAGTACAGAAAGTAGTAGCCGTTGTCGTAGAACGGTGTTGTGGTACAGTTGTACAGTACAGTAGTGATCAGTAGTGGTACAGGTAGTACAGTTGCAGTGCGGTAGCATTCGTAGTAATACAGTAGTCTCCCTCGAGAGAGCTCCCCGAAGCTCTCACGAAGCCCAGCATTTTGTAAGCTTTGTCCTCATCCTACACTCCATCCCCCCCCCCACTGTCACCCACATCAAAATTGGCCGTTGTTGTGCACTCTGGCAGAATCCTGAGCACGTTAGAGCAGATGCAAACATGAACCCGTGTCCTGAATGGCCCGAGCGCACGAAAGAGTGTCAACTCATTAAACAAAGTGCAGCACGAAAAGATGCCGTGACGCACTGAAAGGTTCGACACTTCGGCGTCCCTGATTCTCTGGGTCACGAGCTCAATGGACAGCGTGTCGTTAGGAAGCGAGTAGACCACCCACCTCTGTTTCCATGCTCTGACCAAGAGCACAAGGGTCTCGGTGATTGTGTTCAGGTTGCAGCGTATGCAGAGTTCCTAAATCTAAAGGCATTGAGGCCGGGCTGAGTCTCCTGGGAAGTATGCACCATGACCATGACCCGTGTGTTGCACCAACAGCATCGTAGTAAAGCAGTAACCATTCTCCAAAGTCGGCATATACAGAAAAATACAGTAAATAAACATTACTATGTACTGACATGAGATTTCCTGCAAATCAAACACGGTACTCGCAAGTCCCTCAGCTTCGAACTGCTGGATCTTCACAGGCTCTCCCAATACGCTGCGCATGTTGCACTCCTGGGCGAGAGCAGTCTCGAAACCCGAGCCGCCTTCCAAGCCTAAGCCATGGATTCAGTGTTCAATTCCGACGTCTCAGAGAAGGCCTGCAGCCTTCAGTTTCATGAAGTTTGCGGTAAGAACCAAGCACACAAACCGACAATCGTTTCCTGAAGCTTCAGCTCCGACCGTCCTCGTTATGGGTGATGCCGGCCATGTCGAGCTCCTTGAGCCACTGCTGCTCGAAAGTCGTGCGGAATTCCGACCTGAGCCGGAACCATCTTTTCTTCAACCTGACTTTGATTTATGTGCATCGTGCAACAACAACAACAACGCTCGAACGT